TATATATATATATATATATATATATATATATATATATATATATATACATAACTTTACAAGCGTACAGCAACCAGATCACAATCTAATGATTTTCTCCCTTTCCCTGCTGACTAAATATTAAATTCTGGAGTGCCAGAGCTGCTGATGTGTGCCCTATGATTTCACTTTAAAATAAAATATGTAATTATTTCCTGTGAAACTTGCTCCATTTGGAAACCGGCTAGAGGAGAATGCTGAAGTGGGGTTTCTAAGAGAAATCCTCATCATCATGACCCAAATTCTCTTCTCTTCCTTTCTACAGGCAGATCTTCTGATGACCTAATGGAACTGAATTTACGAGTAGTACTGTTTTGGGTCGTGGTGCTGCACGGTGGCTCCGTCGATGGCAGTATCCTCTACCGAGTCCAGGAGGAGCAGCCCCCCAACACTCTCATAGGCAGTCTGGCAGCGGACCAGGGGCTGCCAGATTCAGGTCACCTCTACAAGCTTGAGGTGGGCGCCCCTTATCTCCGAGTTGATGGGAAGACAGGAGACATTTTCACTACGGAGATTCCAATAGACAGAGAGACCCTCCGGGACTGCCGGTCCCTGGCCAAGGGCAAGCCGTGCTACTTGGAATTTGAAGTATCGGTAACAGACCTGATACAAAACCAGAGCCCACGACTTATTGAAGGACGCATTGAAGTACAGGACATCAATGACAACACCCCGCAATTTCCCTCTTCTGTGCTCACCATCTCGGTACCTGAGAACACAATCATGGGGACATTATTCCCCATACCTCTAGCCACTGACAGGGACTCTGAGAGGAATGGAGTGGCTGACTATGCGCTGACTGCGGGCCCAGATGCAGCGACTCTATTTGGTTTACAAGTGGCGGAGGACAGGGGAGGGAAACTCCCACAGCTCATCGTCCTCGGCAATTTGGACCGCGAGATAAAGGATTCTTATGACCTCACCATAAAGGCGGTGGACGGAGGGAACCCTCAGCGCTACAGCAGTGCTCTGCTCAGAGTGGTTGTTACCGACGCCAACGACAACGCCCCCAAGTTTGAAAAGGCCTCGTATGACGCAGAAGTTTTAGAAAACAGTCCAGTCGGGCACTCCGTGTTACAGGTGAGATTGCCTTTAAATAACAAGAACATGTAAATAGCTGAAAATGTATCTGTCTTAGTTTGTTTTCAGAATCTGTCTCACTATAATTTTCAGTCTCCATTCCAACAAAGGGACATTGTATAATATGTGAATAAAAATTGAATGCAGTAATTTTCTTATCTCGTAGACCCACATTTTAACCACAGTGGAAAATGTTGAACATGTTAAGTATTTAAACTTGCAAATTCTGCAATTTCAAAAGAAAAGGGGGAGGCAACATAAGGCTGTAAAAGCAAGTGTTATGTAGCAATGGGTCAGTATAAGATTTTTATATAACTTAATTAATTTCACACAAACCTTTTGATCAAACGTAAATGCTGTGATCAAATTGTTTTCATTTAAAGTCTAAATTTATAGAAAATATGTTGTTTCTTAAAGCTATAATAAGGCTGTCCATACATTTTTGCTTTACATTCATTTCAACACTATTGCATAGACTGAAGCAAGATACCCAAATGAACAACAGCTACATTTAATTATAGTTGTTTCCATAGGTGCACGGATCAAGATATTATACATTTTACTGTTATTACATACACCAACAAATTAAAGCTGATAGTAATTTAGGCATTTGGGAATTAGACCAAATCAGCTTTAAAACTAGCAAAGAAATATTTGTATCTGCTCAAGCCACCAGCTCTAATAGCTTTTTAAAAAATCATTATTTACTATATTAGAAATCAATAACATTTTGAATAAGTGATTCTCTAAATCTTGCGTGTACCTTTATGCACCGCTAAAAAAATACTAATGTGAGTGCTGGCAGCATGCTATGAGTGTTGTAACACCGTTGAACTAATAGTTGAACTAATCAAGACTAATGGTAGATTTAGCTTTGGCAGGGTTTTAGCATTAGTAACAGGCCTTTAACATTAGCAGCTAAGAAAACAAAAACCATCTTTACCAGTTTCTAAGGACTTTGCAGTCATATATTTTTGTGCTAATAAAAAAAAAAAGGAAATCAAAACAGAAACATTAGAATAATCACACTAATAAGCTCACAGAGGAGCAAAGTTGCTCTTCACCAGTCTTCAGCTTGCACTGATAGCATCTGGTAATTGTCTCAGCTTTTGGAACAATTTGTATTTCGAACAGTAAATGTTAACATTTCATATTACAGTAAAACAACGAAAGCAACATAAAATAAACAACATTTAAGTTATTTAAAATAGAGCTTTACTTTTGGTGTAATCAGAGGTCTGACTCATCTCGGAGAATATATTCTCAGATTTGTTCTGCAGCCAGTTTCAGGTGGCTAGTCTAATTTGTGGGCACTGCGCAATCACCAGTTACTCCGACAGCAGGCCTTACTTTGGTTTGAGTCCAATGTTTCTTAGAAGACACAGTCATTTACACAGCCAGCCAGATCAAGGCAGTCACATACGACGGTTCCGGCGATGCATTGGTTGCTTAAGGAAAAGATGGGAAAATGCTGCTGAACGACAAATTTTGTAGTGATATAATATTCTAGCTATGGCACTCGTCTTTTTTCCTCCATTCTTTCGTAAGGAAAGAATAGAAAAAAGTCATTCACCTTTAAAATCTCTAGCAACTAGTTTCCTTATTCCTCAACTTTTAATGGGAGATGTTGAAATGAAGGGGGGAATGGGTTACAGTCTAAATTTGTGTATTTAGATGTGTCACTGACTTCAAATTTCAAAAATACTTTTTCTCACCCTCAAATAATGTATATTTTAGTTTAAATATTTGAACATTTTACTATGTCCATTGTGTGATTTCTGAGTTTTTTTTTGGTTTTTTTTTGCAAATCCTTGCATTTCTTTAACTTTTTTTTTATTTAAATGCACTCTGAATTAATTGTGACTCTTTTTCTTATAGTCTTATATAAGTTTGTATACCATCATTTAACTCTTTTGTTCATTCCACTATACAGTATGCAATACAACTTTAGCACAGTATGGTTTTATAGGTAATTAAGCTGCTCATTGCTTGCTGTAGTGCTGTTTTGTTATTAAAAAAAATATCCTGAAATAACAGCAATACAGTGTCTTGATGTAGGCGTAAGATGTTCTGTGCAGCTTTCTCTGAACATATTGCTGTGAAATCTTTACTGACTATCATAAAAGAAATTGTTTTATTAATATGATACCATATGCTTTCCTATTAATCTGGAAGGAGAAATAAAGACACAAAATAGATGCAGTGACACAACAATCAATATCAAAGTTCAAAGGCCACAAAGAAATGTATGCGATGTATTTTGTAGTTTTCATGCTCACCTTGATCTATTCATTCAGTTTTGTAATCATACATTTTTAGTGAAAAAAAAAAAATCCATCACTTGTTTCCTTTCAGATTTGACCCCGATTTGATGCATGTCGTCCAGGCTTTTAACTGTCTTCCGTTTTGATTATAGGTCAAAGCAAATGACTCTGACATGGGCCCTAATGGAGAAATTGAATACACCATTCACCAAGCAGTGGACCCAGTACCAAGACTCTTACGAATTGATCGGTCTACTGGCATTATCTATGTGAAGGGACCACTGGACAGGGAGGAAATCAGCAGCTTGTCTTTCTATGTGGTGGCAAGGGATAAGGGCCCTCAGCCTAAGAGCTCTAAGACGTTTGTAACGATTGAAGTGACTGATCAAAATGACAATGCTCCTGCTGTGGAGATTCGTGGAATTGGTCTGGTGACTCACAGTGACGGAGTGGCCAATATTTCGGAGGACATGCCAGTGGGGACAGCTGTTGCTTTGGTGCAAGTGTCTGACAAAGATGAAGGAGAGAACGCTGTCGTCACGTGCGTGGTAGCGGGAGATGTTCCCTTTCAGCTCCGTCCTGCCAGCGACTCTCCCACCGACAACAAAAGAAAATATTTTCTTCAGACAACCACACCACTTGACTTTGAAAGAGTCAGGGACTACAGAGTGGAAATTGTCGCAGTGGACTCTGGAAACCCAGCACTGTCCAGTACAAACTCCCTAAAAGTTCAGGTGACTGATGTGAACGACAACTCTCCGATATTTTCCCCAACATTGTTTGAGGTTGACTTTGCTGAAGAAAACCAACCGGGGGAGAGGATTTTGGATGTCACTGCGACAGATGCCGACAGTGGCACTAACGCCCAACTCCTGTACAACATTGTTGCAGATTCAACCATCAAAGGTTTGTTTGAGATTGACCCAAACTCAGGTGAAGTAAGAGCTCGAAGCCCGTTGGATCGTGAACATAAAGAGCGGTATGAGTTTCGGGTCACAGCTGCAGACAAAGGTTCACCTGTCCACAAAGGAACAGCGACAGTTGTGGTCAAAGTTCTTGACCGCAATGACAATGAGCCAAAGTTCATGCTTAGTGGGTACAGCTTTTCAGTACTGGAAAACATGCCTCCCCTAAGTCCTGTGGGTATGGTAACAGTCCAAGATATGGACAAAGGTGAGAATGCCCGAGTTCACCTCTCCGTAGAACCCGATGGAGGGAAGTTTGTAGTTCAAAATGGAACAGGTACAATTCTCTCAAGCATCTCTTTTGACAGAGAAAAAGAAAGCAGCTATACTTTCCGTCTAAAGGCAGTGGATGGGGGAGAACCACCCAAGTCCTCCTATGTTGGTGTCACTATCAATGTACTGGACGAAAATGACAATGACCCTGTCATCACTAAACCCTCCAACTCTTCCTTCAGGCGCTTATCACCTCTCGCATCTCCAGACAGCCATGTTGAGGTGGTGGAGGCTGAAGACCTGGACAGTGGGCCCAACGCAGAGTTAGTCTTCAATATTGCTGGAGGAAATCCTTACCAATTATTCCGCATCTCCCCCACTACTGGAGAGATCACTCTGGCAAAGGAGATGACCCGCAAACATGGAGGCCTGCATCGTTTAGTAGTACGTGTGAGCGACAGGGGAAAGCCTCCGCGTCATGCTACTGCCCTGGTTCACATCTATGTCAATGAAACCATTTCAAATGTCAGCTTAGTGGAAGCCTTAGTTGGACACAGTCTTTACACCCCACTAGACAGGGACATTGCCGGTGATCCAGACAGTGGTTTCGCTGCCCATCGCAGTAACATTTTATTTGGAAGCCTTGCCGGTGTGGCGGGAGTTGTGATGCTGATCTTGGTGGTGGTGTTTATTCGCCACCGCATCCAGAGGGAAACAAAGAGTGGCTATCAAGCGGGTAAAAAAGAAACAAAAGACCTATATGCTCCCAAGCAAGCGCCAAAAAACACCAAAGGCAAACGAGGGAGGAAAGGCAAGCCACAGAAGTCCCCAAAGCCTCTTGGGGAAGATGAGGAGGTCAGCCTACAAAAGAGTCTAAAGTTTAATCTCGACGGAGTAAACGACAGTCCCCGCATACACCTGCCCTTAACGTATTCCCCGGGAAGCCCCGACATCGGTAGGCATTACCGATCCAACTCTCCCTTACCTTCTATCCAGCTGCAAGCCCAATCGCCCTCAGCTTCTCAGAAGCACCAGGCCGTGCAGGACCTCCCTGCAGCCAACACCTTCGTTGGAACGGGAGGAGATGACAACTCCACCGGCTCAGACCAGTACTCAGATTACAGCTACAAGACCAGCCAGCCCAAGTATAACAACAAACAGGTAAGGTCAGCCGGAATGTGGTGGGCCATTGGAGTGAATGATTTGTGCATGGATGTAAGCTCCTGTCAATTACTATGATTTACTTAAAAGAAAGTAGCATATTAACAGACGTTTATGGTGTCAGTGGTGCATGTTTTGTTACTATCATTCATTTTATAAATGGTAAAAGAACAAACAATCCTTCTGATTTGTTCTCGTCATTTCCTCCAGTTTTTCTCAGTATTACTCAGTGTTGTAATTTGATGAGAGAGCTAATGTACAACACAAGTTAGAGTAGATAAATCAATGGTGTTCCAACTTACTCATGACAGTGGAATAAATGCAATGAGGTTTGTTTTAGGACTAATGCTTCAACACTGATTAGGCATAATGTTATGACCACAGATAGATGGAAGTAAACACCACTGGTTTTCTCTTAAATACTGTACATATTAATCAGTGTAATATAAAAGGCAGCAGCTGCACATTGTGTCTCGAGGTTGATATGTTAGAAGCAGCAACATGGACACACGAAAGGATTTGAGGCATGCCAGCAAGTCTTGTGGTGAACTGGCGATAGGATAATAAGTGGCTGAATCGAAACTTGGTGGATTGGTCCGACCAAACAGACATGCTGCTGTTGCTTATTTTGATGTAGAAGCTAGCATAAGTTCTATGAGGATACACAGTACATTCATTTGAGTTTTTTTTTTGCATCCGAGGCTCCATATCCGTTCAGCGTGCCCATGCCGGTCAAAATGTTTCCTTTGATATCAGCTGCAGGGACATGCGCCCATGTAGCTTTCCCTTGAGGGTTCAAAAGAGGAGATGGAGACTATTTGTCCATTTACTGTACCTCCAGAGGACAGCAGAGGCCTGTCATATTTAGTTTTTCCATCAGACTGGCAGCAGAGTCGAGCAGGCGAGGTCCATTTTTTCCTGTTACTTACTTCCGCTCCTGCACCCAACCTCCAGTGCTCTGAATCTCCACAGGTCACTTGCTCTTATCTCCCAGCTCCTTATGCTCTTATCTCCTCTTATCTCGACAACATTTGGCAAGACTCAAATTGCCATGGTAACAGAAAATATTAATAGACTCAGAGGGGATTACAAACAGTAAAAAAAAAAAAAAAAAAAGTACTGTCTAGGGATGGAAAGCTAGTGTGTCTTTAGGTTTCTGTGTCATTTGCAACTGTGTGAATGGTGTGTGTTGGACCAGTCGAGTACATGTGTGTGCATGTGAGTTTGCAGTGCGTGATGGGGATTATGCAGGCAACTATTACCCTCAAATTGTATAATGGGGGTATATAATTCAGTAAAATGTTCAGATGTCTTGATCCTTTCCATTTAACACACCGTACTGGAGCTTTTGAAACTCACCAATTTTTTAATTTTTTAATTTTTTTTTTTTCAGTTTATAAATCACTGAACTTTGCTGCAGTATGATAAAAAGAAAACAACAAAAAAAATCAGATTTCTTCAAAGGTGCCTTGCTTCAAAAGAGCGCATAGCATAGGGCCTTTTTTTTTTTTTTTTGCATAAACAACCACAGTTGTAAAAGGAGTGTAATTAGCAACCTAATATGACTGACATCTCTGAACTACACCCAGTAATATATTTAAGAATCACACGACAACCAGATCTAACAGTATCGTATTCATGTTCCCACAGTGTCTTTTTTTTTTTTAAGGATGGCCATTATCTGAAAATGTTTGACACTGATTTGTTTCCACCCAACACAAGATGACACAAGCTTTCAAGACGCTTCCCACGTCGCAGTGTCACAGGTACAAAACAGTTTGACGCTCTCTGAGGCTTTGGAGATAATGTTTGCCACATGAAAAAAAAAAAAAAAAGACAGAAAAAAAGAAAAACAAGAAAAAGAAAATTAGCAAAAAATAGAAGGAGAGAAAACGCGACACTGAGTTCTGAACATGTGTAGGTGACACGTTTTCTGTGGAGACGTCTTCAGTGCCAGCCTCCCAGTTGACTGGGTGGTGGTTCCAGCAGATGCTTGCTGACAGTTTAGGTGATCACAAGCCTTTTTGGTGGGTGGAGTCAGTTTGGAGAAGAGTCACCACTGTCTGCTTGACGGACAGCATAAGGGACCAAAATGACTGCGAGCCACAGGGTGTGTCTGGGTTTTTTGTGTGTAGTGCCAATCTCGATGGCTCGCGCGTGTGTCGGCTCGCTGCTTAGTCGGAGCAGCGCTAATTGTGGCTGCGGCGCAGCTGTAAGCTCTCAGCTCTTGACAGTGCCGCGTATGAAGTTTTTCAACTTCATAAATACAAACACGGATGAGGAACGGGGCTCAAGTGATTGACAGTCGGCGCAAAAAAAAAAAAAAACACAGGCAGATGCTGGAGCTCATGTGACATACCTCAGCAGATGTTGTCTCGTGTATGGCGTACCCTCTCACATCAGGAAGAACAGATTGACCAAAATATATAATTAAAGTCGCTGCCAAGTGATGTGACAGATGTAGAGTCGTGCCCTTGCGTTAATTAACTGCGCTGCTCTCAACAATGGCTTTTCATTTGAAATGTGATCAGGCATCTGGGTTTGAGGCACAGTTCATTTCTTGATATTATGTCTAAAAATTACTGCTTGTTTGCTCGCAGATTATGAACACAAAAAGGATTTGAATTTAACTTTATTAGCTCTAAATCCATTTGAAGCTGAAAATCCTTTTCGTTCTTCCTCTGAAGCTCAGAGTGCAGTTTCATAGTTGCATTTGTGTTTACGTACCAGGTTTCTAAAAGCTTTTGACATGGACATTTGTGTGTACCTTTGTGCATGTTGTCTTTATTAGAATATGATTGAATATTGAGCATTCTTTAAAGCAGGTCAAAATTAATCTTCACTGATTTTAATGGAGTTCTAGCTTAAGTTTGATGTCAGAGTATATTAAAAAAATGTCGGATAGTGTAATAGGTACTTGTCCACTTTTGCACAATTCAACTTACTTTCTACTATTGACCAATGATCTCTGTGTGTTTATTTTTGACACTCTTGATTTAACAAAGAAGAATTCATTCCAGTTTTGGAACCAAGACATGCACAGAAAAAGAAAAATTCAAATAGGGTAAGCAGATGGGGGTCGTTGCTTAATTTAGTGGATAACACTGCAAAACTAAAAATCATAGCAGTACATCTGCCACTTTATAACACTATCGTCTCACGTAGAGTGCTACAAATTAGATATCTGCTCCCAGTCAGATTTTTTATGTCTTCGCGTTTCTGTCACACTTAAATGTTTTAGATCAAACTAAATTTTAATATTCAACAACGACAATTTCCGTAAATACAAAATGCAGCGTTTAAATATTGATTTAATCAGTTAAGGGCCAAAAAAAGGGCTATCCAAGATCAGCCTATAACTCATTGTGACACCTCCGGTGGGTACAACAGGCATAAAAAAACAATGTGACTTTTACACTGTGGTGGAGAAATGTAGATTGTTAAATTTTAATTTCATCAGATCGGGGCATGATGTGTCAGAAGTGCACTTACTGCCTGCAGCAGGTTCTGTACTGTATCAGCAAAACTGGGGCAAGAAACAACTCTTCATAATCTGTCAGGTCTGATCATTAAGTTTGTAGCCTTTAGTTTGTCATAGGTTTAAAATGACAGGGTGAGGAATGGGGGGGTGAGAGGGGGGTTTGAAAACATGTGCATAACAGCCAAACCTACACTTACGCTTGGCCAAAAATGCACACAGACGTCTTGCCTTGAATGGGAAATGTCAAAACTCTTTCCACAATGAAAGCACAAATTTGTCCTAAAAGTCTTTTGGTTTAAGTCTTTTATTCTACTCCAATTAGGCTGCCATTTAAAAAGAGCAGAAAATTAAAAAAAATAAAATAATCCACTGATAAACATGCTTATTTAAATGAATATCTTTACAACACTGGTTATAGACTACACTTTTCTGTAAGATCACTGCACTATTTGGCAAGAAAGTATGATTCTGGCTTATTAAGCAACTAACTTAATAAGCCAATTGTTTATAATGGCTTACTTAAGAATGTCTGAACGAGGTCCCAGGTATAGCAGTAATGATGCACATCCTGCACGATAATGAGATATTTTAAAATTAAAACATGCATACCATAGTTTATCCTGACTAATATGTGGTGGTTATATAAACAATAGGCTGCAGGTAGTTTATATGAATACCAAAAAAAAAAAAAAAAAGAAGAAAAAAAATCCACATTTACTTAAATGTGCAGTCTTCCTTATGTAAAGCAAAATATGCTACTGTTGTTTTTGTATTATTATTATTATTTTTTTGTTTTTTTATTTTCCCCAGAGGATTTCCTAAATTTTAAGAGCTGCGTCTCCCCTTTGAATACTGGCTCCGAGAACAGCCCGAGGCTGAATATTTAAATACTTTATAGCCAAGAAAGGGTTGCTGAGGGTGCCAAAGCCCCAACAGATGTGTTGGATGTCCTAATTAGATCACAGTACTATCAAAGCATGTGCCAGCTATATGTGCAAAAGCAATCCTTTGTTTTCTTTCCGAACACTAGGAAGTCGTCCTGCCATCAATGTTGAAACATTTGATCTTGTCAGACTCCATGGAGAAATTTTCCACCGTCTAATTGCTTTAGATTAACCCACTTAGGAAAAGGTTTCTTGAGATGTGTTTTCTGGAGTGTAGCATGGTGTTATGCAAAAGTCATACTTCTGTCTAAATGAGACTGCAGGGTGCAGTACACCTACAGTCTTATTATGGTAAAATAAATAGCGAAAAACATTTTCTTTGAATTATTTGTTTCAATAAATACATTATCGGGCAAATAAACAAACTAGGAAATAGAATATAAAACCAGACTAGACATTTTTTTTTCTTACCATAGCTGTAATCAATGGCTTTCATGCACAGTATATGTCTGGAACCAATGCAATTCAGGACCATGGACAGCTCATTTTCTGCCTACTGAGCTAAAGCCTCTTTGCAAATGGAGCATGATAAAAAACAAAACAAAATATTACTACAAATATCTGTGTGGGGGACA